CGTCTTGCACAATTTATCACATAACAACTCACTGGCATTGTTCCTGAACAAAAGATATCACTGACCATTACTCAAACTGTTGCCTTATCGCGCTCTCCAAATCGTTCTTTTTGCCAACCACGAACCACAACAACGACACGTGACTAAGCTGGTGACCCCAGCGTGAGAATCGCTATTCGAGAAAACAGCGGTAAGAAAAATCTTTTGCTTTGCAAACAAACTCCGCCCACAAACGCCTTCAACTGGGTTCTCAGATAACTGAGGCAATCAGTGCAAGGAAAGTTTACTACCGTTAACGTCCTGGTGAATAGAATCTCCTAAAAACCATGCGTCCATCAGCAGTTTTTTCTAATTTTTCTGAGAGACCTTGAAACATCATCTTCTATTGGATAAATGGATTGATGCTTTAACGGATATCATAAAGTTATGATGCACGCTGGAAGTTTTGAGAGCATGGTAGAAGCGTAAGAAATTGATCGAGGCCCATTCGAGAGCAGTTCTAGGTTCTTGACTGCTCTCCGAACTTCCTAAAGTCGATGATGCACATTAAAAGCCCAAGTTCTGGATTTCATCCACTTTTCTCACTGGCAAAATTGTTTTTTATTTCGCTACTCACAAAGGTTGAAAATTAAAGTTCCGGTGAAGTTTCTCATTCCATGAGCGCGAACGGGTATCATTAGATTATGATGCTGTTTTACTAATACTTGAATTGAAAGCGTGACTTTACTAGCTATGTTATTTAAAATATCATGAATAGAAGACATTTCATGTGTTCCCATAGAGTTATAAAAACACGCGTGGGAACGCGAGCTGAAATCGAGAGTGAATAGTCTCATTGTTTTGTAAGAATTCTAACTGATTTTCTTGAAATTTCGCTTTCCAACTTCACGCCGTTGACTGAGAGTCATTTGAAATTTTCGGTTGTGAACGTGGGCTCATCCGTTTTTTTCACTAATTTCGAGTTGTTTTTAAAGTGAAGAAACCTTGAATGATTTTCTTTTAGTCTATAGTGGAATTGTTGCTAAAGGTTCCTCCAAACGCCTGAAAACATCATCATTTTGTAGACGAGCTACAGCCAATACACACTAAAGACTGAAAGTGTACGATAAATCAGCCAATCGAATATCAACATTTTAATTACCTTATTGCAGGAAATTAACGATTCACGTTGACAACGCGAAGAACATTTACGTTACAGAAAATTAACGCGAGTTTTCCAAAAGTTAGTGTAGTGTTTGTAAGGTACGTTTCGGTGTATCATACATCAAATACTTAAGCGCGCGATGTAAGTCTGGAAGTTGATTATTGAAGCAGCATGGCGGACTTGTAGATTTGATTCGTGTGTTGTGTCCGTTTATTTTAATAATCCAGTTCCGTCGGTTGTGGAACGTGACATCTAGCGAAGAGGACTGAAGTTGCAACTGCCTAGACCATGGCGTCAATAAAGATAGCGGACGATTTAACGAGTGTAAAACCCTTCGATCCACATGGTGAACCTTCCGGCGTGGGAAGGCGATGGCAGCGTTGGTTGAAAAGTTTTTCTATGTCTGCCGACAGAAAGGGCTTGCTCATCCAAGCGGATAAAGAGGATAATAAAATCCAGAGGAGAGCTTTACTCCTTCATTCAGCAGTCCGAAATATCCCGATAAATTAGGGCGGTCATGACGTCATGAAGCTATTGTTAGCAGGGAAAATGGCGGACCTTTCATGCGGACAAAGGAAATATGTTGTTTCCAGTCTCGCATAGAGTCTGGCCAGCATTATCCAGGACTTTTTGCGACCGAACGTTGAGAAGGAGAATAAGCGGCCATTTTGATAGTGGGAGAACGTTGACTGTCTTCTAATCATTTGGTTTTTTTGGTGTCAAGCGAGGACGTAGACGCGATTTTGTGGCCAAATATTAAGGTTAGTAAAGAGTACGCGTTGTTTTCTAGTATTCACGTATTTTTCATTGAGCTGTGTATATTTTTTACTGGTTCTAGTGTT